TGCTTATGCAGGGGGTCAGACTCGATGATCTATTGAGGTCCCTTCCGACCCTAACATCTATGAATCTATGAATCTATTTAGGCAGCAGATCTGACTCAAACAGATGGAATAAACCTGTGAGATTATCAGAATTTATTCTTCCATTGGCACTCTCCTAATCTCACCTGCACGCCAGGCTCCTTGTTTGCTTCATTTCAGAGCATGAAGGGGAATTGTTATCAAATCAGAATGTGTAGGAGTCCCTGTCAGCACTACTGGGCAGTACACATAGTTTTTCTGCTTTAGCCACTGCCCTGAGGTCAGGATCCCTGATGTTCCAAATTCTTGCATTTCAGGAGATTTCAAGGCATGTGCGGGAGCTGTTGGGGATTACAGAGCCTCTCTGGAGCAGAAGCATTGCCCTCCCCTACAGGGACAACATGGGCTTGTTTCTAGAGCACAAAGCCCCAACTGGCAAGACAGCAGATGCCCTCACCTTCTCCAAGTTTGTCCATGAAGCAGGACTGAAACCATATGCCATAACTACGTCTTTGCAAAAAGCCCAAACTGATATGAACACAGACAATCTCACCATTTCCCCGTGCATCCAAGAAGCAAAAACAGAGCCACATGCTATAATTCCACCCTGAAAAACAGATCAAGCTACTGGACAAACTGATTCTTTTGCTGTGTCTCTGGCTGTCCCACTTTCTTCATATTAAAGAAAAGGCGCTTTACTGCTCTTGTTTAGTGTGCACACTGTGCTCAGCCATGTGTAGTCCTTTCCCTGAAGAGCTTGCATATAAACATTTGTCCCTAGAGAAGCGCCTTTGGGACACTGCCAGGCACTGAACTCATTGTCCTCAGTTCAGTGTTGTGATTCTAAAATTCCCCCACCACCCTACACATGTACTTGAAAGAGTTATAAATGGCACAGTTGGTGCAAGCAGCACTGAATAATAAGGGAGCTGAGAACTAGAAGTCAAGAATATTATAACTGAGACTGAAGAGAGAATGTTAGGAGTGAGAATTGATTTGATGGACTGGGCAGGATACTAGGGCATCACCCTTGTTTGGGAGAAAAGCATTGGGCAATCTTTTATGCAAGTGAGCCTTGCAATGTAAATCACAGTCTTACAAGTAGCACCTTCTGCACCAAAGTACTACACTGCATGTTGGTTTAGTCTTGATCCAAAGGAAAAAGTATTCCTGACTGAATCATCATCAGCAGGGGTTTATTTGAGAAACACTCCCCTTCCCCCTCTCCACCCCCCCAGCCAAATAATGAACAACCTAATCCCACGTAATTTGAGAGATTTGATTAGATTAAAATCCATGTGGGTTGGGACTGAAGCCATTAAAAGATCCTAAACTGCTTCCACAGAGAAAAATCCAGCAGTTTAATTGAACTGAGGGATTAGGACAAGATGACATTTAAGTATTGGTTTATTACTCAGGTTGTTAACCCGGGGTATTTGAGAAGGCCCTAGGTGTTATGTGCAGGTGGGCGGGGATGGAGTGCCACCATGCACCATCCTGCATTGCTGCCCAGCCGGACGCAGGGAGTGAGAAAGCTTGCACGTGGCAGCTACTGACACTCCGTGTTCAGCTGCGTGCCGCCACCCCTCCCTCCCCTGCTCCACCACCGGGTGTACACTGCTCCATGTCCAGCCACCAGGGGTACACCGATCCAAAAATGTTGAAACCTCCTGGTTTATTAGACAACCAAGAGGTGTCAGGAACTCTCAGATGCAAACACTATTTTGTACTGAGGTCGCTAATCCACAGTGTTGTTCTAAGCATTTAAAAAGCAAGCAAAACTTGCCATTTTCTACTTTTTCCTTATCCTGTTTACTCTTGAGTTAAAGGACTGTTCAGTAATAGCCCTGGTCATCAGCTAACTGATTCTAGTGCATTTTTTATAACCAGCCTTAACCTGGGGCTACTAAAAGTAAAAATCAAATATCCCAAACTAACGTTCTGTGAGATTGTTGCCATAACCTCTGCAAACCAGGGAAGACTAAAGGATGGGAAGCTTTCAGGTGCTTCAGAACTCGGGTAAGAAAGTTGCTCAATCTCCCTTTAATTTGACCCTTTTTTGCAGCGGTCTGTGCCAAGGGTGACAGTCAAGCCAAAGTTATTTGCTATACCAGTCTTATTCTTTCTGCAGAATCCTCACTATGGTTCCTCTAGCACATGCAAAAATGGGATGGATTTCTTCAGTGGAAACTGATAAGAAAAGGGTATTAATCTCCATAACAATTCTCTTTAGTAAGAAAATTTAACAAAGCAGCCCCATCCATAGAGGGTTGGTTCTACTTTATGAAGTTTCAAAATCAGTGTGAGGAACTTCCTCCAGGCTTTCTGTGCCAGTCACATCCAAAGCGGTCATAGTGGACATTGATTCATGACAGGTCACCATACTGGGATCTGCTGTGGCAGGACAAAGAGACATCCTGCTGTCAGTGTGGGCTTCAAATGAGGCATGATATAGCTGGGCAAGGTGGTTCTGGAGATGCACACACCTTGCTAGGAGCTGGCCAAAGGGGGTCTCCTTCAGTTGTACAGTTGTCAGGTCAAACCACGGAAAGGTGCTGGGAAAAGAAAACAGGCTTTATTATTTATATGTCAGCAACTATCACCACTGTCAGCACCCAGAGGTATGATTTAACAAATAAACATCCTTTAAGTTATGCACTTTTTCTTAGCCCTTTGAGAAAGCAACAAGATTCAGGAAGTTGTGGTCTTTGGACACCACCAGTTCAAATGAGAAGATTTTGCATAAATGGGAGCTAATGGGTTTACAACATGAAACAGTGTACAAGCATATTCATCATACAGGTCCCACAGCAAGGATGCCACTGCCTTGGGTCTTGTAAGAACCAGCTTTTCTTGTGCTATACCTAATCCAATGGGGTCCTGATCCTGACTAGGGAATCTGGAAGGTTCTTTAATATGGTTAATATAACAATTATACAGAAAACAGAATTAGCAGGGACTGGATGGCTTAGGAACCAATGATGAGTTTTAGAGATTTTAATCGCTAGTAAACAGTACCAAGCAATCTTTCATCTGTGGTGACCAAAAGCTACTTTTACCCAATAGATACTACATCAGAAAAAGCACCCCACACATTAGACTCCTTTGCTGTGGTCCAAGAAGAGGGGGCTGCCGTTGGAAAAGCCCTGAAGACTGTACTTGCAATTCCTGAAGATGATCCCAGCAGAGTACAATCCAGACAATGTGCTTTTCTCTGGGTAATAAACCCAGCATTCCACAGAATCAGTGTCTCTTAAACTGGTAACTTCCATCCATATTAAATTTAATTCATTTTTTTTTAAGGAGAATTGGTGCAACCATGGAACTTCTGGTCTACGTACACACAAAAGGTTGAAACCTAAATAGACAGTGAGACAGCTGTCCTTCTTTAGGGCATTGCCTGTGGGTTACAAGGCACTAATATTTGTTAACAAAAGGAGCTCCATATCCCCTTCTATGAATCAGTTTTAAAAGACAGAGAAGGGAAAGGTTCTAAAAAATAGAGGAAATCTACGGCAAAGGGACCCTTTAAGCTCTTCACTGGAGTCTGGTTGCTCGGGAGTGATAAAGGAAGTTCATCGTTTCATCCAAAACCAACAATAGCTTTGCAGTGGTGTTGGTTTGTCTAGATAAGAGGGGTGATGCAGGGAGGAATTACTTCCTCCTTCAGGCTCCTATTGAAGACATCCTGCTATAAGATAAGAGGGGAAAGAACAGGAAGTCTGTTCCATGATAAATGGTATAAATAAGGCAAGTCAGGCACTCCTCTCTTTTGTACAAGAACAATGTGATGTTCAAGGACATTGAAAGGTTCCAAATTTCAAAACGAGAAAAGGATTTTTTAACACGATAAGTAATTAGTTCACTGCTACCAGATAAGCTCTAGGCCAAGAGCATAGTAGGATTCAAACTAGGACTGAACATTTAGGTAGATAATGAGAACTGATGCAGTTATATTACACATACAGATTTTTATAAAGGATATTATCCTTCCTGGGTCAGTACAGAAGCCAAGCACTAAGAGGTAAGGAAGAAAAATCCCCTATAGGCAGATTAGTCTCTGTGACCGGGGTGGGCAATTATTTTGGGCAGAGGGCCGCATGACAGGCAGCCAAGGGCAGATAAATATTAATTTTCTAAATTTTTTAGGGGCCCTGCAGGCCAGATAGAATGGCCTGGCAGGCTACATCCGGCCCCCAGGCCGCATTTTGCCCTCCCCTGCTCTATGAGGTTTCTTACTGCTGGCCACTGTCAGAGACAGACCTAGTTTGTTCTGGGACAATGGGCCTAGACCCAGTAGAAGCTAAAAGCCCCACCTCAAATGGCTAGAGGGAGGCCACTAAGCACAGAACTTATGGGACAAAAACAAATGAGAAAACAGGAATAGGAGTATGGGTTATAAGTCAATAGCTAGGGTGTGTAGAGAAGATACCAAGCAGAGAACTCTGGTTGGCACCCACTGTCCTTTGAATGTAGTTAGGGAGCCATTTGGACACCTCCCAGTAAAACTCTTCTTGAAGATGTTCCTGGACAAGGAAAACAGCTCCACAGCTGTCTTCCTTTTCCTTGTCCAGGCACACCTTCAAAAAAAGTTTTACTGGATGGTGTCCAAATGGCTCCCTAAATACACTCTGGATTCGCTCCAACCAGTATCTCCTTCCTAGTCTGGTTGATGGATTCTCTGGAGCTACAGCTGGAGTCTTCAGAGACAGGAGACTGGACTACAGGGACTGCTGATCTGGCCTGGTCTCATTTTTTATGCGTCCTGGTCTTATTTAGCTAGACTGCACTAGTGCCACAAGTCCTGTGCCCCTGCATGTAGCAGATTCTTATATCTGAAAGAGCAGTTCATTCTGATAAGAATAGGAGGGGCTCAGGATAAGATACCAGGATATTCATGGCATGGATTTAGACTCTGACAGCTGCCAATATGCTAGGTTGTGGGTTGATGTCTATGTCTTGATAGAGTGGGTAACATTTTCAATAGCAGCTCCCATTATTTTCATAATGAGGCATTTGGGAGTCAAGTCTCCTTAAGAGACACTGAAATTTAGGTCAGATTTTAAAGTTGAACCTTTCACTGATGCTTCACACTGGAGTCATGTACACCATAGTGTTCTTCTTATGCCATCAGAAGAGCCCTCCTTTCAAACCAGGGGATATGACAAACACTCAGAGACCATCCAGCCATCTTTGAATTTTGACACCTTACTTACTCTTGTTGAGTCAGGGAGGCAGCAAAGGTTTGGTTGACAAAGCTCCCACACACAAACAAGGGGCAAGTCTCTTTCTCCACACAGACATGGCAGGGCTCAGAAAAGCATACACTATTGAGTAACTTCAATGTCTCCTGGTGGGACAGGTGCTGCCACATGCAACTGTTCAGGGCTGCGTAGAAAACAGCTTCCAACCACTTAGCATTGACAGTGACTTTCCCTGCACAATATACCAGAGAACAAATTACATTTACAACTGTATATGCAAATGTGAAGGAAATAGACCTTTTCCTGGTAGTGAACAGGAGAGGAGGGTAAAAGCCCCAGCAACTACAATGGGCTTATTTACAAAGGTCAAACATAGATGAGGGTTTGAACAAAAAGGGACTGGACAAATTCTTGGAGGAAAGGGGCATCAGTAGCTATTGAGAACAGGAGTTAGGGATACAGCCTCTGAATCAGAACTTCCTAGACCTTGAATGCTGGAAGCTGCAAGTGAGAGAGGAACAGTGGAAAAAACCCTAGCCATATCCAGTTCCCTCTCCCTTTCAACATCCACTGTCTGCTGCTGTGCAACACAGGATGCTGGGCTAGATGGACCTGTAGTCAGACCCACTAAATAGCAATTCTTATATTCTTATGAGGAGACTAGCCAATTGCCTGTCAAGAATGACAGGGGGAGGGGGCAGGGGGGGACAGAGGCCTGGGCTGTTCCCTGGCTCCCCGCTGCTGCTTCAGGCCAGGGCCAGGGTTGGGGCCATTACCCCCAAGACAGCCAATCAGAGCACAAATAAAGTGTTACAGACAGACTAAGGCTTTTATAATATTAGAATCCTCAAATCTAGTACAGACTAGTAATAGAGTAATAAGTAGTGATAAGGGTGATAAGAATCCTCTAGCTCATTTCAGCTACAAGACTCCACTGAATATAAAGCAACTACGTAGCCACATTCAGCAGTGTGTATAACTGAATTGAAACAGGACGGTTTAACAGTGGCCAACAATACTATTTAGGACAGGAAGTTAAACAAGTAAAACCATGGAAGAAACTAGGGTAGCAGAAGACAATTCCCACATTGAAATTTAATCATGGCAGACATGCAAAAATTGACTCGTGCAGGAAGGGAGAAAGAAAGTGCTAGTAAGGACTTGGACCAGTGATTCTCAACCAGGCTGCTGTGCCTCCAGATACTTTGAATGGTGCCACAAAATGTGAGGAAATAAGTGAGGTGTGAGGAGATAAGCAGATAAAAGTGCAGACTCAGGCTTGTTCCTGTTTGGCCAATCCCCAACTTCCACACTGCCTGGTCCCTCTGCAGGAAGTAAGCACTATCATATATAATTTGCTTCTGAAATTGGATGCCACTCAATTCACAAACATTATGGAGGTGCTTCAAGTCCAATGACAAGTGCCTTGAGTCCAGAAAATTTGACCTAAACCTTATATATGCATATAAGGAAGGCCTCTTATCCACAGCTTGTGGCTTTACTATCTCTGGAACCTGAAGTTACTGCTAGCTCACCAAAGGCAATTACAACTCCAAAAAGAGTTATAAAACACACACAATGTGCATAGCACACATGGAGAGGCCTTCTCTCCAGTAATGGTCCTGATTGTAACCACGTGGCCTAGAGCACCAAGCTCTCTAAGAGACACTAGAGATGGGGTCACTTTGCACTTTGCCCATCCATTTGCAATGCCTGACTGTTCCCCACTTATCTTAATTCAGTGCTTTGTCCAGTCTAACTTAAAATAGCTAGTGACAAGGCTTCCCACGCTTTTATTATTAGGAGGTTCTGCTTTCACACTCTGCATTTCTAAACAGTTACTCAGAACTACTCAGACAGCACAGAAGGCGAACAGCTGTTACTCTATACATAATCTTGCTGCTGAATTGTACTGGGGTAGGACAATCAGAGTAGCTTTAGTTTCAGGCAAAGACACTGCTTCCAGCACCACAGGAAAATGACTAGAAAGGGAAGAAAGCCACATACCCTTAGGACTACCAGGACAGGTTGCCTTCACAACAGCAGGGTCTTGAAGAGCAGCTGTGATTGTCCCATTAGGCCTCCATTCATTTGTAAAGTTGTGGCTTGCACACTGGTACTGTGGCCTCACAATGGCACTGTAGGAAAGGAGTTGCTTCAGCCTGAAAGCAAAGTCAGCAACAGAAAGATTGCACTAAGGGAGAGGAAGGCCAGAGAATGAATGTGCATGTCTACAGACACCTTTCAGCCCAAAGTGCTTTCCATCCTCTTCACATACAGCATAACGAAGACCCAGCCACTGCTGAATTCCAACTTCTAGCTAGGAGAAGAGAGATATTCACAATATCAATGTAGCCCAGCATTTAAACATCCTTGTGCCCTGTCATCTGCTGTAAGCGAGAGTAAAAATATGGATTTTACAACACAGTCTGAAGGTCAACAGACTTTAGTTCTTCCTTCCTTCCCTAGAGTTCAAATCTGGGCACAGGCAGTAAACTTGAATGTTAATGTGGATTAAGATCAGGTACGAATTGGAGGCACAATAGCTGTTCCCAAATAGCTACATGTGTGCTTATGCTGACACTTTCAAGGTTGTTTAAGTTAAATGGCAACAAGGTGCCAGGGTAAGTATTTCTACATAAGGGTTTATTTGGGAACAATGCATCAGAAACAACTATGTGTAGTCCCCCTACTTTAGTAAACACTCATGTCTGTATAATAAAATACCAAGAGGAGGGCTGGACTGCTTAGGGCATTAGGGGCCAACTTTTTTGGCAAGTGTGCTACAAATGAGCCCCACACCCGAGTGCCCCTTTCTCCTGCCCAGTCTGCTGCTCTGCTTTCTGCTCCTTGGCCAATCTGTTTCTCTGCTTTCTGCTCCCTGCTCTATCTGCCACTGTGCTGCCTATCTCTTCCTCAGTCTGCCATGTGCCCCACACCCCAGCTACCTGTGCTACAAGTTGGTCCATACCACGGATTGGTCACCCCTGGCGTAAAAGATCAGAACTGGCATGTGGAATTTCTCACTGCTTGCACTGAGATTGCTGCCGATTCAGATGCAGCCCAGTCCTAGAGACTGAAATCCTAGAGATCGCAGCCCAGTCCTAGATATCACACACTACCCACCATGTTTTTCACATCTGATGGCTGTTCGGTGCCCTCTGTAAAAACAAGGGACTCTCAGCATTGTTCCAAATGGAGATGTGTTTCAAGAGCCACATCACAGCTGGTCCTTTGTTAGCTAGCTCAACAAAGAGGTAAAAAACTGAAAGGGCCAGAGACTAAGCTAACCTCACCAGCATGGCCAATCTTAAGCAGTGAAAAACCCTTGGACCAGAATTCCCTTATCTTTTTTATTTTAAATATGGGAAGCATGCATATGCCTATCTAACATGCCTATATAGACATAGACACGTGCACACACTCAATGCCTTCTGGGTTCTGAGTCTTTTAAGGTACCTGCTCACATTTTCAAGCTTCTCTGTGCTATGAGGGATAGACAATTGCTTCAAAATATAAGCAGAAATATGCACAAATTCACCTGATGCCAGCAGGTGGGCCTTTAGGGAACCTACCAAATATTATAAGACTCTCAACAAAGTCTTACAATAAAATTGTGAAAGTTGGCAACTCCACCATCCCCACTCTGGGCCAAATACATTAGACAGCAGCACCACAGAGAAAACTTGCGTTGTGCTTGCCTGTGACACAAAACTTGTGGGATTTAATTTCCTGGCTTGCCAAACTGAGGTAAATCAATATTACCTGGGAAGAGGAACAGCACTGACTAGGCTGTACACAAGGCAGGGTTCACGGAGTGTAGCACGTATTCCTGAGCAGACATGCAGCAAGTGAGATGGCAGGCAACAAAGGAATACAACATCTGCCCAGGACACCAGCTGGCCATTGTCATAAAAGCATTCGACTCCCAGCTGCTGGAGCTCTGCTAAACACAAGCAAATAGACAAGGGAATCACCAGCTCAGAACCCAGGCTCTGCAGATGGGCAGTCTGGTGTGAGGTGTGCCCTGGGGAGAAGGTGAATCACCCACCTCAGACTGGGACAGTCCTTCCCCCAGGGGACCTTCACAACTTAATCAGAAGCTGTCCATTAACATTATTTCCATAAAATGTGAGGCACTCAGGCTATAAGGAAATTAAACCTCCCTGCCCAGAAGAAATATGGAGAAAATTCAAATGGCTGGCACTGTTTCATGAATATTAATTTAAAGCTTTAACTGGGAAATAAACAAAACAAAAAAAAACAAAAAAAAACAAACAAACCCAAAAAAACCTCTGGGTCTGGCTGGTTTTCAAGATCCATAAAAAGCCCTTTAATGGCTCCCCTTCTCATATCCTCTGGAGATAATTACAAAAAGGATTCCAGTGTCCTGGTCATCTCCCTAGAGAAGAGTTATCTTCAGCTCATCTTGTTTTACATTACTTATATGACAACTGACATTTTGCATGCATTTTATACCTATACTAAACTCCCTAGTCCACTCCTTTCACTTGGTATTCCACCACTTCAGAATGAAGAGAGGGGCAGCCTGACCCTGCAATGAAACTTTGAGGAGAGGGTCCCAGGCTGGTTATTTTTCCATGTCACCATTGCTGTTGGCTCAGAGAGCCGTTCCATCCATTTAGTGAACTTTTAACACGTTGATGTTTCAACCACTGAGGAATGTCTTGAAAAATTACTGAGAAGAATTCATAAAAGAGCAATAAAAATGGTTAAGAGTCTGTTGGGACTGAATTAAGAGGCAAGATTAAGTGAGAAAATGGTGCACTGCTTAATCAAATGATGGCTAAAGTAGGCAAGGGAATAACTGTCTATACATATTTGAAGGCTGGAGAGAGATGAGTGGTTCAGGGTGCTTTAAGGAGATCTAAGAGGCATAATGGAGTGAAATTACAGAAGGAGGAAAATACTGATCTTCACCAAGGAATATTTCTTAATACTGAAACAGCTTTCAAAGGAAAAGTGAAGTAAAGCCAGAGTGGGATGTGGTTGGTCAAATATACTGCATCAAAATTGTGGGAAAGGCTTTGGGTTAAAAGAATAGAGTCATCTGCTTTCCCCTAAGAAAAAAAAACCTGAGTTAATATTTTTGTCTAAAAGTGAATGTTTTCTATGGAAACAATAATTTTGGAGCCATCTCTACTTGAGATGGTGCAAACGAGAGCAGACTGGGCCTGAAAGAATATGAAATATTCACCATTCTGAAATGGTGAAATACCAAGTGAAATGAGCGGACTGGGGAGTGTAATATAGGTGTGGGATGTTTCCTGCTTGGTGCAGGGGGCTGGACCTGGTGATCTTCCGAGGTCCCTTCTGGCCTTACAATCTATGAATCTATGAATACACTAAATCAGTCACAGTGACAGTGCTGCCTTTCCCAATCCAGTCCCCCTGGTATGCTGGCTCTTACACAAAATCTCTGGCCTCCTGGTGGAGATATGGATGTTCTGTGCTGTGATGCCACTTAGATCCAGCAGTGCCCTGACCAGCTGTTTCCCAATGTGTCCTCCACCGATAATCCCAACCTTCAGGCTGTTGCAACCTATGGATTCTATGGCAGCAGTCTGTGGAGACTTCTCACTCCATTCTTGTCTGAGAAGGGATACACAAAGAGTTGGCATCAACCCAACATAAACCTACACACCCCCATTACCCTCAGAACCTGGAACCACAGTCCTTCTTAGAAAGAAACTGTTGTCCAGTGTTCCTGAAAGGGGTTTAGACTTGTTCTGTGTTTTAAGGTGTTGGTCCCACTTGTTCATTCCTAGTTCTCAAACTAGCAGTGGTCACCCCAAACTCAGACTCTCTCCATCGTTTACCATTCACAGTGATTGCCATCTAATACACATTCACAACCTAATCCATTGCCAGGTGCCTTTGTAGGCACCTCTTAATCCTGCCCCACCCACCTTTTAATTCCACCATTCAGGTACCAGACCTTATCACAGGCCCTCTTCAAATGCCTGTTAAGAAAATGAGTCATACAGTGTCTATAGGACAGTGACTAAACTGGACTCTAGGGCACTGAGCTGGTGTGGATTCCAGAGCCAAGTGGCCTTTGTACAGGATGGTCTGCCAGCAGCGCCCTCCTTTTCTTAATCGAGGAGGCTAAATCTCAATTTTCCCTGTTGATCGCATCTGCAGTAAAGTGGCCCAAACCACTTAGGCATTTAAGCCTTTACTGGGCAATTCCACCCAGAAGCCCACAGGCAGCTGGAACAGATCCCAGAACTGCAGCGTTATCGCACCCTACCCACCATATTCTGAACTAGCTTTACCTTCTGGCTGGTTACAAAGCATAAGTCCTTAGTCTAACCTCAAAAGAGGCCTGAATAAACTTGAGCAAGGGTCATCTCTCAAAGGAATAGTTACCCATACTTTACTGAGTACAGATGAGAAATGGGAGGAGTTTATTAAATTAGGATTAGGATAAACATCCTTTGTCTGACCTGGGCAGACAATACCCAAGATATATCAATGCTTTCTGATGGCTATGCCTTTGCCTGTGTTGAATCAGCTTGACAGTCTTGGTCTATAATTTCTAATGGGCAGGGCCTTGCATCAAAGTTTAGCACCATGTGATGTCTGGCACCTTGCTGACAAATTTAACTGAGAAGCTGAAGACTGACCAGGTAAGGAGCTGTCCTTTCAACCCCAGAGCTGAGTTTCCACCAGGAGACAGCTGACATCCGTTGGCAAGGGGAGAGTCTGCCTCACTACTGCCTAGGGCACCCTTTTTCTGGCAGTAAACAGGCTTTCAGTCTCTAGGCCTGACAAGCCAACACTTTTCACCAGCACTAATAAATACCAAGGGAAGAATGCTCATTTCTGCCTTACCTGATAGTGTTGAGTAGCTTGCAGAAGAAGACAGCATGGGCACATGCATTTACCACCAACCCCTTAGAATGGCATCTCAAATTTAGCAGCAAGGGCTGCTCACTCTCTCCTGCCACATGTTCAAGTTGAAAGGACTTCAGATTCATCGTAACATCTGACATCATAGCTCAGAACAAGAACCTTCAGCAAGAAGCAGCAGTTAGAAGAGCAGCACAGCATCCAGCTGTTAGACATTGCAGTCAATCCCCAGCTCCTGATATAGCGTGCCACACAGTTCAGTCTGAGATGAAAATAGAGCAGTGGATGCCAGGACTATTATTTCCATGGAGCTGCACACCTCCATGTTGGAGAGGCTGGAAGCTTCTACCTACCCACAGCTAAATCTCATAAAATGGAGCAGCCAGCAAGCTGCACAGAACTTGGTCAGGTAGATTTCGAGTCCCTCATGGTCTTGGTAATGTGGAAACCAAAGCTGAGGCAAGAGGCTTTGGTTTCCATCTGCACATCTACATTTTCACCTTACCACTGGCTTCAGTTTTGCCAGCACCGTGCACGCCCAGCCTTTTTTCCTCCCAGGGAATGCACATTTTTCTTCCCTCCTTGTGCATTTATCACGATTGCTCTATAACCACCTCCAGCATGGGCTGTTCAGAAGCTTTCCTATATCAGAATACAGCCCCACAGCTTTGTGACCTGGAATCACAACATCACAAGACATACACGCAGCTCTCACTAGAGTGTTCTGCAGTGAGACTGCAATGTTGCATCACAAAGGACACTGTCCTAAAATTGGGAGTTAGTTCAGAGTATACTCAGTTCCCAGTGATACGTTTCAGGACCAAGTTCATACAGGAGAGTCACCATTTCACCTGGTCCAGAGTTGAGATGGAGTTAAACAGCCTCTGCCAGGTAGACAACTGCTGTAACAAGCAGAGCTGATTACATACTGCACCAGTTGACCCAACACAAGGCTAATCCATCATTCTGACTAGGGAGGGCTGGAGTCTGACATTACTTGTTTGATATTCTGATTTCTACACATCCGTTCCCAGCATCTGATGAAGTAAGCTTCAGCTCTCACAAGCTTGTACTATATACCCTGGTGTCTGTTTTAATTAGTCTGTAAGGTGCAAATCTACCCTGACTTCTACTGGATTTGAGATTAACGAAGCTACTTACTCATTACTCAGTTAGCTAGTGGGGCAGTGCAGACCAAGCTAAGGTACTTCCATGCTCTTCACAAGGGCTGGTCTTCAACCATGTGTAGCATAGGCTGGTCCTGAAGACTGCACTGGCTACATGGAGAGAATACAGCCAGGCAGGGCTTTCTTACTCAGGCACAGTTCTTGCCCTCTAGCCACAGCAGCCTCCATAGCTCTTATATGAGCCCCCATCTGCATTCACACTAATGCCGATAGGCTGTGAGTTTGGTCCTGAGGCCTTCACTCCCCCAAGTGGCCCTGTTGGCCCCAGTGCTGACCCTGGAGGTAGGGAATGGTCAGGTGAGGAAGTGTTGTGGGGCAGACCCACTGGAAGCCCAGGACCACTGCAGGCTTCCGGCTGTCAGAAGTTCGGTCCCAGGCCTGCCCCAGCTGAAGTGCTACTGGCAGCAGGAGCTGGACCCCCCCTACCTGCAGCACAGCTACAGAACAGTCCCAACCGCCACCTGGATTGCGCACCTGCCCAAGCTGCTGAGCCACTTGCAGTCCCTCCGTGCTGTACTCCCTCACCCCAGACTCCCGGTGCGGTCCCCCCCCCCCCCAGCCTCCAGCTTCCCCAGTGGCAGGTGCCACCCATTTTGTGCCCCAGCCAATTCAAGCCTAACAGTGGTGTTGTCATGGCGATTGCTTAGCTATCAGATGTCCCTGAAGGAATCTTGTATACACCAAAGATGAATCCAGAGCCCTGATCCTTAAAGGGCCAGCACCACATTTCACAACCCCCAGGGATGGAGAGAACGTGGCATTTAGAGAGGAATCATGAGCGCCCCTCGACACACGTCACTCCCACCATGGATCAAATTAACTTCAACAGGCACAGGCTGTTTTGCCAGGTGTGACTGCCATCTGGACAGCTAGGTCAGGTGAGGAAGTGTTGCAGGAGATCTTATTTCACCCAGTAGGCACCTAAGTGCAATTCTATTCCACTCTGAGCAAACTCCTGAAAAACCATCGCTTTTAAAGGTGTATGGATCCAGGTCTTCCCCCTCGCAGCTTTAGGTGATGGACTCCTAAGGCTGAGATGAAGTACTGTTTTCAGGATGGAACAGATCACAGATTGGCATTGAAGTGCCACTTTAATGCCTAGTGGGGGAGTAGGATCTGGCCCTGGCTACGTGTAAGCAATACTCAATGCCACAACCCAAGCCCTAGCGCTTGCAGCTCCTTGTAGAACTTACAAACAAACCCTGAGGCACGCAAAGAGGCTGTTTTTTCAGAAAACCCTTATGAAGGCTCGTTTTGGAACACTGGAGGAGCCCCAAAGTATCTTCTGGGTTCCTTTATGAGTATATTCAGCTCCCAGTGCCAGGTGGCTGCAGCCTCCAAGCAGCTATCAGCAACCAAGCACATCCTGCCCCTCTTCTGAATGCCACGGCTCAGCATTTAGTTCTCCAGAACTGCATTTTGAGCAAAGAGGAGGAAGCACAGGTGGGGAGAGGGTGGCTCTGAAGCCCAATTCTGTCCTCAGACTTTCATATGGCCTCTATTGGCTTGAGTAGCCCCATTTTTCTGCTGAGAGCTCCCCAGCAGCACTCACAGTCAAACATATCTGCAGGGAGATCATATGGATAATCCTCTCCTTAAGGACAAAGCTGCTCCCAGTCCCATTCACTGTGGCCCTGGGGATAGAGGCATCGCCTGTGCCCACCTTACAGGATGTAGGAAAACTTCCTCCTGCTCAGGGCTCATGGTGATAGCAAAATGCTTGGAGCAGGAAGTAAACAATGAGGAGCCAGATGTAGAGGCAGGATGCAGCTTTATTTAAGGAACAGAGATGAGGTCTGAAGAAACGAAGCTGGCAGGAAGCCTGGGAGAAACCTCCTTTTCTGGGGAGGATGCAACAAAAAACCTTCCCAACAAAGCCCAGGAAGAAGAAACAGCTCCCAGGAACTTCCTGGAGTTGGCATGCTCAGCCCCTGCAGGGAGCGATCAGCAATTCCTTCCACAATCCACCCAAGCTCCAGAGCTCCCAGCTTCTCCGAGTGTAAGGGCTGGTGCAGCAGCCCAGGCAGTCGGGTTATTCCCTTGGCACTCTACAGAAGTTCCCCTGAAGGCTGCTTCTCCTAGGGTAACATCGGAGGCTCCTAGGGTTTTGCTCTTGACACAGCCACCACTGCCTGAGTCCAAGCCAGCTGGGGTGGCACTGGGGCTGGTCACCTCTATCCTTTAAAAGGGTTAGTTAAGGGCAACTGTCCTCCTTCTCTGACTTGAAGGAGCCCTAATTCTGTACAAAGCAGAAGCAGCACCCACTTGGCCTATTTTTCTCTGTACACTGAAGCCACAGCCACTTCAGGGCTTAGTCCATTACAGGAGCATCAGTGCTGGTTTGTTAGCATCTTATTTCACTGGCCAGAGAGTTGGGTTTGCCTTGCCCCAGCCTGGATACCTGCTTGTCCAGGAGCCCTAGGCACTGCTCAACAAGATATAAACCATGCAATGAAGAGAAACGGAGCTTGCTCCATGGGTGACAAGTCTGGCTCTCTGGTTTTCCCCTCTCACTGGCAGAGGCAATGGCACATTGGGATGGTGGGCAGACAGTTCTCAGTTCTTCCATCGGATTTGCTGAAAGAAAAGCAAAATAAAATGCAACTAAGCATCAATGCTGGTGGCAGCTCAGATCCCTGGGAACACAGCCAAGCACCATGAAAGACAACAGGCCCCACACAGAGGCCAGCAAATGACAAGGCGCGTAGGTTTATAAAGTAACACTGCAGTGTGGTTTAATAAAAGTCCAGCATTTCCCTGCAGTGTGGGGAAGCCAAACCCAGCAGCCCTGGGCTGGTAATGGAACCAGCAGCAGAAACAGACTAGAATCAGGAAGTGAAATTCACCAGGCAAGTGTCACAGCTCCAAAAGAGTGACATGCAAGGAGTACAAACAGTAGTGATGGAGTGCCAGAGATGATCCTTCTACATAGAACCTCCCAATCTCTCTGGAGGGTGGATCAGGACTCCTCTGGGACAGCTGGAGAAGCCAAGGCATGGACAAAAAGGAGCTTGCCCGAGACAACCTACTGAGCACAGATCCTAACACAGTCATTCCTGACGCACTGTTTCAGGTCAGACAGTGACTTGTTGCAGGCTCAAAATTCAGCACTGGAGGGAAAATAACCCTTCAATTCCAACTGGCCACAAAAGTGTCACTTGGCAGGTTGTGCCCACAGTGGACCATCAGAAAGGAGCTCATCCCTGTAAATCTCCCTGAAAGCGAAGATAACCATCTCTTTGCAGCAGATTGCCACTCCTATCTGTGCATCCAGTGCCCGACAGTAAACTCCCTCCACCTAGACAAGGGTACTCAACCTCTGGCCTACAGGCCAAATGCAGCCCATGGAGCTTTGGCATCCAACCCGCAGAGATCCCTCTAGGTTAGGAAATTTGGTGGAGGAGGAGCAGTACGCATTAAGGTTGGCCACGCTCCCTGCCCCCACAGAGCCAGGTTGGGGCCACCTTCCCCCTCCGCCTCCCAAACAGGGCCAAGTCACACCCCCTGCCTGTGGGGCAAGCTTGGGGCTGGGCTGCTCCTCTGCCCCCCTCTGTGTGACGGAATGGTACCCACTGCACCTGCCCCAGGTGCCAGATGGGAGATCACTGGCTGGATCTGGCCTGTGGACAGATGGGGCAGCTTCCCCCAACAGGCCAGATCAACAAGGCTGAGCACCAGTGACCTAGACTGGTACCTTCCTAGCAGGAAGAGGGGTCAAAATGACAGAAAGATCCCAATGCAAGGCACCAACCAATCTCCTGCCCATCTCAGATGAGGCTCTCAAGAAGGCAGCTCTGCAGGCTTTGTACAATTGTGTGATCTGGGGAACTGCTTCTTACTGAGTTACTGAGGATGCTGTCAATCTTGTCCTCTTCTGAAGAGCCCCGCTCCACCTTACACCTGTATGCTAGCAGCTGGATACGATCCTTCAGGTCTCTGTATGTCTAGGAAAACAGCAACACCAGGGCCTGGCTAAGCGAAGCGGATTTCTTTGTGGGTCTCTATCCCAGTGTTCAGCCCAAGGATTCCAGGCTTCACTCCTTTCCCCTGCCCCTCCACCCCCACATACTGGATCTAGACAGCCAATGCTGGGGAAGACACAAGCCCCAGGGGCTGCTCTAACACCTTGCCTACTTTTGGGAGGATGATGCAGACACTAGCTACAGGGAAAAGCAAAGCCACAGGAAAAGGAGCTGGGCACACAACTGTAAGTAGAGGGGCCTATAGGGAACCTATTGCCACCCATGTGCACCGGGTGAGGGGACAGGATGCCTGTGCACTACCCTCCCCCATGTCCAGCAGGGACTCACGTCGATAACTACATCATGGCACTTGTATTTTGTGGCCAAGTTCAACCTTATGTCCACGTCCTCCACCAGGCGCACATACTCCTGCAGCACCTGGGTGGGAAGAGAAGAAGCATCAGCAGAGCTCAATGTAATGGTACTTGCCCTCCCACCCCCACTCCAGCCTACCAACCTCTCTATGGGTAGTGAAGGAACCAGGCTGCTTTAAGAGCTGGCCCTACTCTGTGATCCCAGCATAGCAAGTGGATGGGATGAGCCTGCTTAGGACTCCTCAGGGGGCAAAAGGAGCCTCAAACCTTGGCTAAAGGACCCTTCCAATCCATCAACAAGGCAGTTCCACTCCCAGAGATTAAAATAATCCTTAGCGCAAGTGCAGGGTGTAGAAACCTACGGCGGGCAGCATTACATGTATTGCCTGGGAGAGGGATGGCTTGGCTCATTCAGGGGCATCACATCCTACAATCCAACCCTAAAGAACCTGCTACTGCTCCTCTCTGCTAACTCCTTCACAGCCCCCACCTCCACCAAGTTGCTTCCCTGGCAGCTGCTTTGTCCAAGAGGACATCACATGCCTGCAACATCCATGTGTTGGAAGCAGAGCTGGTACAAACAAAAGAAGCTGTGCTTGGAAAAGTCCATCATTGTCTTCAGCTGTGGATGCCAAGCACCAGCCATGGGGGATCAGTCCCCTTCTCCAAGCTGCTCCTGGTGGATCAGGAAGGAACAAGTACTCCACAGGTAATAGATACTGCACAGCTAAGTGACCTCCTGGTTTGGGCCAGTGCTAAAAGTGAAAGGGACACCAGACAGTGGCCCAAAGGTCTGTGCAAGGATGGAAGGAGGCAAAGTACCTGATGCACTCCACAGGAGAAGCCTCTCTCACTCACCTGCACGGGGGCATTGTTCCGCTGCAAGACCTCCACCACCCGATGAAAACCAATGGGGGCTCTCTTCTTGGTGTAGCCCAGCCAGTTCTGAAACCACAGCCCAATTAGCACCAAGCTTTACAAGAGGGGTACCCCCAAGAGGGTGGAAAGTAGGGTCATGAGCTAACAGACCTGGGTGGAGAGCAGGAGAGCCACTAGGACTTCTCCACCCAGTGAACACATTTCATAGGACTCCAGGGCAGCAAGCTGCCCTTGATACAAGATGCTGTTTTTCCCTGCCAGATGCTAAAGCTAGGCCTGGCAGCTGGGCTCACAAAGGGCTTGAAGGCAGCCACCAGGGAGGCTCCTTCTCTGGCTGAGCTGCCTGGAGCAGCAGTGAAACCATTTCAGCTGCTTTAAGGATAGTCATCCTATGAGAAGCTTCTGGCAATTCCCTCTGAGGCCCCCAACCACAGTGAGGCCAGGCAGAACAAGTCACAGTTCTCCTGCTAATTCCAGGGCATGCCAGAGTATTCCCAGTATTGGAGCAGGGCACTCAGGAGACAGCAACATCAGCAGAGGATAAGTCATGTAAGGAAGGAAGGCAGGTGGACAGTTTGCTACCCTAGAGCCAGAGGGACAGAGGGGAAAGGGCCAGGAGACAGCCATTGCTGGGACCCATCCCCAAGGGTCCTCTCCCTCACCTTGGTGGTAAACAAGGCATCTACATCATGCCAGGCTCGCAGCTTGGCACGTGCAGCGAGGGCCGTCAGCACATACTGTTTATCTGGGATCTGCAAGGCAAAGGTACCAAATGGTATGAACAACAGCAGAGCTCAAGACTCTGAGGGGAGCGGGTGGGTAGCATGTCAACTACTGAGATGACAAGCCTCATGAATCACATGCTCAGCTTGGCTGTACAGCAAATGCATTGCAGGGGGAGTGGAGAGGAAGGAAATCAGTGACCCCTACTGGGGCAGCATTACCTAGCTCAGGCCCCCTGCCTGGCCAACTCTTTACACCGTAGCTGGGGGGGGGGAGCAGTCCCAGCTGGCACAGCAGACTGCAGCTGGTAGGGATGTGAATGGATCTCACCTTCTCATGACACAGGAAGCAAGGCAGCACCTCACACAGGGACAGCAAAGGGCAGAAAGGTGAGGCCAAGGGAGCTCACTCCAGGAAAGTGAAACACTTCTCAGAGCCTGGGCTCAAAGTAAAGCACAAGGGGCTGGTCAAGCCCAGCTTCCCCACAGAACTTCCAGCCGGCTCATACAGCCAAGCCTCCTCCCTTGTCCCTTGGATGGGTCTGGGTCCCAGCTAAGCCCAGCAGTGCCCACACAGCTCACATGCTACCCAACCACCAAGCTGGGTCTGCTCCTGCTCCCCTTCTGCCTGTTTTTCAGGATCAGCTCTATGCCTGCATTTCCATTCATGGCAGCAGCACTCCTTCCCCTGCTGAGTGAACAATCCACACTGCTGGCAGTCCCCAGCCCCACCCCTGGCTCTTTTCAACTGGTGCTCCTCACCTTGAAGGTTTTCTTCAGGTTGGTTGGGCTGCTGAATGTCCCCTGCAGAAAGACACACAAACAACAGACACTGAAGAGGAAACGGGCGGAAGGGGATAGGGATTCAGCCTGGAACTTGCAGCCCTCATTCCTTCAGATTGAGATCCAGGCCTGTACTGAGGCTGCTAGTGCTAGTTTGGAAATGGAGATTACAGGAAGAAGAGACCCTTCCCATCTCCTCCTCAGCACTCTGGGAGTGGGTCCTTCCCATGCCCTCAAGTCTGGGGTTCCCTCAATACTCGGGAGGTCACTGTTCCATACCTGGGGCTCAAGAGGACAAGAGTCAAGTGAATCTCTTATATGCTAGATTTAGTTGCAATCTTGGAAGTAGCTCAAGGTGCCACAGCTTCTGGAACAGCTGTTGTGACAGGTGAAAATGGCCATCTTTCAAAGCTCAGAGGGGCCAGATTCTACTCTAGAATATTAGGATTCTCTGAGGGCCTTGTGGGGGTGTGAAACCTCCTTCCTAAGCTGCTGAAGATGGCACACTAGCAAAGCTTCAATGACCCACATCACGGGCACCAGCATTATGTGCCAGAACCCTTGACCACTCCCATTGTTGCACCCACCTCTGCCTCTGTGTAGTGGTAGAAGCAAGAGTAGAAGAGGGTGGTCACCAGTGGCATGTTGAGAATCAAGGCCTTTCGGGGATATTTCCGAAATACCTCTGACTGCCCAGATGACTCCACGTGCCGGTCGTTCGCCTGCAGAAGAGTTGGGGGAAGACAAACTGTGTGAGAACCAGGCCAGCCATGCTGCTGAGCCAGGCCTCTCCCAGTTCTCAGGGGAATGAGCCCAATTTCAACCAAACCAGCTCAATGGGACTTCAGAGCTCTCAGTCTGAGTGTCACATCCAGCATGTGACGTAGTCCAAGTCACAAATCAACAGCTTGGTGGGTTGCCTACCACAAAGGCCTGCATGACCTTAAAAGATCACAGACCAACTGGCTAAAGCCATGACAACTTCTCATTCTTTTCAGAACAGGCCAGTCTGATGCTGGAGCACAGACAGCTCTCAAACAGCCCCACTGCCAAAGAGAAGGCTCTTTACCTCAATGATGATCTGTCTCTCCAGGAGTGTATAATGGTCCTGAACATGAGCAGCATCTTCAGCTGAAAACGGCAGCCTAGCCAGCAAAAAAGGATGGTCAATGTCAGCAGTTCTTGTTACATGGTCTTTGGAGGGACCCCGCTTCCCCAGAGCACTGCCCTAGGGATGCAGTCCCTGTGCTATTGCTTGCCACTGGCCTCACCCACCTCAAGGTTCTGGGAGAGAAAGTACAATTTCAAGTTCTCACCTTCCCACAATCTCACTGCTCTTTCCAATGGGCTCCAATCAAGGAAGCAAATTGCATGGAGGGAGCTCAGAACCTTGCAACTGATACTTCCTCAGAGAACTTCACCAGGCACCCCCATCCCACCTCATCAGCCAAAACGGTAAGCAACTTCCCGAGACCTCTCCATCCTCAGTTTAAGAGAAAATGAGGCTGGACTAGTAAGCACCAGGCTCCTCCTGGGGCCTGTGACCAAAACCTCTATGCAACAGTGAGAATATGACCCTTTAACTTTGTATGTCCCAGCAACCCTACTGGCGCCTGATGTCTGCACTTCTTATTCTTCACCACATCTCCAGTCTCCCCATGTTCTCTACTTACCCAATGCAGCCTTTAAGAAACTCTTTTCGTTTATCCGCATCTTGGATGTTCAAATGCTCCCGGTACTGGGACAGCTGAAGGGAGAGGACAGAAAAGAAAGAGCTGCCCTGAAGGGAGTAGGCTCAGGAAACCCCTTCCACAAAGGGAGACGTGGGTTCAAACCTGCAAGCTGACTATTCCATGCCCCCTGCTGACCAGCCCCTCCCAGCCCCATACTCCAGTCACAGCAGCTTGTGCTGTGGAGAGTGGAGATATCAGGTGTTTGCTTGCAGCCTCTTTGTGGATCCCCACCTCACACAAGCTACACAGACGAGAAGGAACAGAATGACAACCCCTGGGAATACTCACAGCAACCTCCTCAGTTCTGTCAAGGAACCTGTGAAGAGAAAGAAAGAATTACCTCTACTCAGCACTGCCCAGTGCTTGGTCCAGATACAGGTGGGGTTTTCAGGCAAGCCACGGGACAAGCAGGGATCCTTACCGGAATAGGTCAAGGAGTAGCTTCTGTTCCCCTGATTCTCTGAGGAAATGGATGAGATGGCGCAGAGCCACCTGCCGCACTTCCAGCTCATGGAAGAGGATCTCTGGGTGGGAAGATGCACACAAAATGTCAGTGAAGAGCCACCTGAAAGCAGCTTGCTGGCCAGGCCTGGGCTGCTTCAGGATGGGTGGAGCTGCTAGAAGCTGGAGGAGAACTAAAAAGATCTTCAAAACCCAGCAACCTGAATTACAGCCCTCCTCTAGTGACCAGTTGTCTTGGAAGCGAGTCCAGATCCACCAGGCTATTAGATGAACACTCTGTGGTACATAGCTCTATCTCCTCTCGCATAGGGTCTCTCATTCACCCCAACCCCCACTACCTTGTACAAAGTCTCTTAGAAGCTCCCCAACCAGCACCAAACCCCTCCCCCTGCACCTGGAATTGAGGGAGTGTCCTACTCATGCACAGATCCCTTGGTTAGGTGAACAGAAAGTGACATCCCAGCCCTTCTCTGTCCCCAATTTGCTGTAGGCAAGAGAATTGAGCCTCTCCCTCTTCACTGAGAAACACACAGGGCCCAGTCACCTCACAGACATACATACCTTTCTTCAGTGTCCTCTTCAAGAATATCAGAACCTGCAAGCAGAATAGACATCCCTTAGCTGAGGCAATGAATCCTAACCAGCATCCAGACAGATGCTGCCATTAGGTAAGGCCTGTCAGAAGTTTCCTGGGAAGTTCAGTCAGCCACAGATGTCCTAACCCCACTCAGGATTTGCAACTTTTACTGAGTACTACTGGCATGTACTGGCACCCTGGGCAGGCCATAGACACCCAGGATACCTTCCACTCCCTGAGCTGGCAAGCAGACCTGCTGAATCTTCTACAGCAGTGGTTGTGGGGGTACACATACCCCTAGGGGTACTTACAAAGGTAGTTGGGGATATGCAGAACTGACATGGCCAATAGTGTGGCTGATAAATGCTGTGTGAGTGTGCGCAGCTGCAGCACAGCAGCAGGCGTCCAGGAGTGCAGCCTGGAAGTGTGGAGAGCAGCCGGGTCTGGCTGGTAAGTCTGTTGCAGGGGAAGGGGTGTGGGGAGGGCAGAATGAGGCCCCAGTGGTGGGGAAGGGAGTGGGGCTGGGGCAGGGCACGGGACAGAGCCACACGCAGAGAGGGCGGAGGGCATGGTGGGGCGCATGCCCCCGGATCTGCACAGGGTGAGACGGGCTGCTGCTGCAGGCCAGGGCAGCGCTATGCTGTTTTCAGAGGGGGTGTTGGGCCGGGCTACACTGGGAGGGGGCATTGGGAGGGGGCTATGGCAAATTCTGGAGTGGCTGCAGCCCCTCTGACAGCTCCTGTCCCAGCATCACCTCTGCCTGCCTGGAGCACAGCCTGGCCCAGCACCCCGCTGGGAAGAGCATGGTGCTGTCCATCCTGTTCTGCGCAGATCCAGGGACAGAAGCCCACATGCCCTCCCAGGGGTGTGTGTCGTAGTGGGAGCTGCCCTTTCTCTCTTGCCCCTGGAGTGGCTCAGGCCTATGCCCCACCCTAGCTGGGCAGCCCCACTCCCTCCCCCATCGCTGGGGCCTCAATCTGCTCCCTCCGCAGTGGCAACCTGCCCTCATCCTGCACACAGATCTGGGGGCACCCCCCTGCATGCCCTCCCATGTTGCGTGCCCTCCCCTCCCCGTGCTCCCCAAATGAGCCGCTAGGGACTCTGTCCCATGCCACCCACTCAGGCTGTGCAGCACCTGCCCCAGCCTCAGACCCATTCCCTCCCTCACTGTGGGGCCTTGATCTGCCACCCCCCATCTAAAAACAAAAAAAATATTATAAAGGGGTATGAGCTGAAACTTTGAGACAGAAAGGGTACACTTGTTAAAAAGGTTGAAAGACCCTGTTCTACAGCTTGGCTAAATGATACCAAGATGTAAGAATATGGAGGGCACTTGAAGAGCATATCTTGGAGGTCTCCAAAGGACTCTACTGACTGCATACACCACCTCACTCCCCAAGCTGGAGTAGGAAGGGTCAGACAGCCTAGAACAGTGGTGCTCAACCTTTTGGCCCTGCATGCCAAGGTTGGGCCTTGGGACCTAGTGCTGACCTTGCATGCCAGGATTGGGCCCTGGGGCCTGGCACTACCCCTGCCTAACCCTGCACACTGGGATAGGGTGCCCAATCCAGTGTAAAGGGCCTGGGACTCCTTACAGGTCTTGAAATTTGGCAGAAAGGAGCAGTACTAGTGTTTGTGCCACCACTCACCCACCACCAAATTTATGGGGAGCCCTGCTGGCTGGATCTGACTCGCTGTCCAGGGGTTGAGTGCCCCTGGTCTAGAACACGGCCAATGCACAGGAAGGCCAAAGATGCTGGGAAAAACTTATGCCCACATGAGAAGCCCTCTAGAATCGCCATGCTGCATGGACCCAATCTCAGGTTTCCACCTCTCACCCTGAAGACTCTTCTGAAGGAAGCTGCAGGTAGCTCGATCCATCCCATACAAGAGGATGAAGTGATTCAGAAATGATGCTGACAGCTTTGAGCAAACTAATTTTGAAGCTGCAGCTAAGAACATGGAGCTTCAAGGCCCTCAGCTGTGACCCTTTCTGGTCACAACTCAACAACCCTTACAGTAATAAGGAACTGAATAGCTGAGTAGACAAAGGGAGCCTTTAAGGGGGCATCCTGTCAGCCACACTCCCAACTACACCCAGGGGTATACAGCCAGAGCAGGACTCACTGCAGTAATGACATTCCCATCATGCACTGCAACTGCTTCATCGAGGAGCATCAACTTTTCCTGCAGGGAGCGGAACCTCTCTAGTGAGCAGACCTGGAGCGAAAAGGGAAGACAGACAGGGACACACTCAAACAACCCACAGAGTCAACTACAGCTCTTATGTAGAGAGTTTCAGCCAGTGTCCTGTCACCCATCTCCTTTCACCCACTATAATGGGAACCAAAACCCCACAGGTGGCCCCAGGTGCTCTGCCATGATGAGCCTGTGAAGCCAGAGCACTAAAGATAACCTCAGGCCATGGGAGCAGCTGTGAGGATTCAGCAGTAGTAAAGGCTCTGGCAGCAACCCAATGATTTATGTATGCTGGCTGCCTGGCATGGCCTTTTGAGATCTGTCCTCTGCTTTCTCCTCTGCTACTTGATAAAGCCCTAAGTAGGCACAGGACATTGAAAAATTGTTCCTGCTGGGGTCATGCAGCTAACAGCCTGGATTCCCTCCCCAATTCTGCCACACATGGGCAAAAGGAAGCATGGCAAGCAGCTTGAGAACACCCAGGCTCCCCTCTTACAAGCACATGGAAAAGTAATGTCCTCACCTTGCCCCTCTGCATCCGTCTGATGGTATCTTTGGGGCTCCAGTCACTGCTGTAATCCTGCAAGAGAGCACAAGGCAGCCTCTGAAGTTCTAGAAGTGCTGTGTGACCAAGCTACCTCAGGTTTTGCTGGGGAGCTTCTCCCATATTTTGGTTACAGCTGGGACAGATGCAGTGAAGATTCTTCACATGGCTTGCAGCAACTGGAAGGAGTTTCCCCATAGCCTTTCCAACTCAGGACAACAGCAGGGACTGGGTTGGGTGATTGATTCAGTCTAAACAGGGAGGTGATGTCAAAGCTGTGACTCTTTCCTGGAGCTGTGGTGGGGGAGGGAGGCAGACTGATTTGGTTACTGCTTGGGACCACAGGTGCCAAGAAAGCCCAGTGCCCAGGAGGCCAGCTGTCATGTACGTATGAACTGCTCCTGCTGATGAAAGTGACCACTGCAACAAAGCTAGTATGAGCCACCTCCAGTCTATCCTAAAGATAGAGGCACAGAAAGGGCACGTCCTTCCCCCTGATGCTACCCTGTCAAAATACCTCACCCCAACCTCACAGGGCCCCAGTGAAAGGGAAGGTTTGGTCCCCAGGTGGCATAGTCAGAACGTGGTTCTCCGCCAAAGGCATCACTGCAGGCAGCTGCTGCAGTGGTTTTGTTATAGGAGATATTCTCCAATCACCCTCAGCTAGCAGTGACCTCTGCTCAAAACCCACCTAGTGGCAGGCTGACTGAGCCAAGAGGTGAAATGAACAGCTATCTGCAGCTTTGAGTGAGGTGCATTATCCTGTGTATAAGGCAGCTGTATCTCAGAAGGAATATTTCCCCCACTTCAAGTAGCCTGCACCCCGTATGCTGTTTTTATGGGGGCAAAAACATGCAGAGAAATTTGCCACACTCTGGACTGGGATGGAAGGATTCGGGGAATGTCCAAATGGCCTCTTTGGGCCAGCCTTCCCCTGCAGCACAGGCAACACAAAGCAGACAGACCTGGAAACCCTAGGACAGGAAAGGGAAGTGACCAGGTTGGAATTGCTGCCTCAAGCAGAGTGAGAGGGAGGGAACCAACAAGGCCGCAACAAGAAAAAACCAGGTCAACTTTTTAACATTCATTCAGGTCTCATGAATTCCTCTTTGGTCCCATCCAGCCCCTTCTGCTACAAGATCCATGCAGTACTGGCTCCTGAAGGACTTTTCTAGGGCCTTGCACAGCTTAATGTTAAATGTTCCAAGCAACAGGGACCCCACCACTCTCCCTAAAAGACAGAGACTTGGCCTGATCCACCTGTCAGGAAGCTTGTTCCGTAAACTGGTAGAACTTTTCCCTGCCTTCATTTCATTCCATCACTAGTATTTCTACCTCCATTTGATACACAATGTAATCCCTTTCCTTGCTTAATCACCTCTGGGGGAGCCTGGGATACAGGTCAGGACAGGACTCTTTTAATATAGGTTTTCCTCTTTGGCATCATTTCTGGATTCGAAGGGCACAGCCAAGAGAAGCAGCATATTCAGGAAGACAGCACCACCAAGGAGCAGTATGTTACTGCAGTTCCTCGGAGGGAGATGTTGCTGCAGCTGTGGCTCTGTGATCAATGCCCCCAACCCTGCAACAATACTGCAATTTCCAGCTTCATTCTTGCTGGGAGGCTATCTCCAATGTCAATGCTGGGGCAGCAGTGGCAGGACTTTCAAGCAAAGCATCATTCAGCAATGCCCTGTGCTGAGGTTGAAGGACTCTTCAGGTAGGAATGGAGGGGGTGGGAATGGGGGATGACGACGACGACAACACAATGCTAGGGTCCACATCAGCATTCCTCCCTTCTATATGAGAACAGGGAATGTCTGAGGCTCTATTACTGTGAAGGGCTACCTCCTGGCTGGAGAAGGACTGTACCTCTTGTCTGGATGCTTTCCCATCACTCCCCAGAATGGAAGAAGGATTGGTCACTCCCCATGAAACCTCATTATCCCACCCTCTTCCACTCTGCGCGACTTTCCATGTGACCCTGGGATTATGCACACAACCTCCCACCTTGTAGTCCGCCTTTGGTCTGCGCAGCTCTGGAGCATAGCTTTTAACCCCTGCATCAGAGAGGGCTGTGGAGGAAAAAGGCAGCACCCTGAATAACACATCCAAAATCCTCATTTGCACCCACTTCCCAACATTTCCTGGGCTCAGTTCCACCCCCAGCATGCTTTTTTTCAGTGGAAGGCCCACAGATTAGGTAGAGAACCCCATGGACCAAGCAGAGCCCACAAAACCCTGGAATGGGCACAGACCTAGCAAGGCAGAGTCTGATAACATATAGACTAGAACCTGACATTCCTCCCAAACCTTAAGGATTCTCTACACAGGAGGGTTAGGTCTGACAGGAAGGCAGCATGTCTAGAGCCTCACATGCAGGACTGAGTCAGGAGACAGCAGTTTATTTTTGCCAGTCACAGCCCCGGTAACCTCCCCCTAGTGGCTGCAGCTGGGTTGGGCCACACTGGGCCCTTGTACTCTGCAGCTCCCTCAGCTCTGGCTCTTTCTAGCACTGGGCACAGGCTCACTGTCCACTGCCACTTCACAATGATGGGCAGCTGTGTCCCAGCTGCCCCAGGTCTGGCACTGGCCCTCTATAGCTGAAGCCTTTCCCAGACATGGGCACATTTGTGAAAGCCCTGGGCTGCAGGTCCCCTCCTCAGGGACAGGAAATAGTTGAATCAAATAACAAATATCGTTAGAGTTCCTAAAGCTGGTCACGCCTTACTTTACCTGGCACAGGACACAGACCAAACACTCATCTGTACATAAGTCCCTGCTTCGGTTTTCTCAGCATTCATGAGTGTTACAGTGGATTTGGTTATTGTCTTAAGAATCCAGGATCCTCTCACACCTCCAAACCATAGAGCCTCTCTCACCTGCAGCCAATTTTCTTCTTCCTTGGCGGGACCAACAGTTCCTGTTCTCTGCCTAAGACTGCTCCATCTCTGAAAGTCTGTTTACTTGTGTCCTCTACTCCCACTCTTTCTAGCTCTGAGATTTTAACACCTGACCTATGTGACTTTTATTTGGGAATTTTCCAATCTCCAAATCTGACCCCCCTGTAGAGATGCTGGAGAAAATCAGTTTCACCTGGGATGCAGCCACTTGTTGTCTCTCACATGGGAACCATTGTCCCTGGTCTCAGCAATGCACGACACAGCCCTGACAGCAGATGGTGGATTCCGTTTACATGCAGACATACAGTGATACAGGAATTTCACACCCTCAATCAGAATCCATAATCCATCCAGAAACCATCCATCAGTGTCCACAAATCACTGCACTGAACTTTTGTTGACCCCCTGATGACTTGAGTCCAGTGTTTCAGTTTCCTCATCAGGAAACTAAGACTCGCACAGCTTTGTAAATCATTTGTGTGGAAGTCCCCTATGAAAATGTACAATATTCTCCTTCAGCCCTTCCCACCACAAGTTAGAGATAAAAATGCCTTACCATCAGAAAGTGACTGAAAACTACCAAGTTTGTTTCTGCCTGAAAGAAAAGAGCAAATAATAGTGAGGGGTTTTCAACCACCTTTCCTCCTGCTGGTGAGCTGAGGAGATAGCATGCAGAACTGTACTCCAAACCAGTGTCCCAGCTTACGTCAGTATAGAAAGGGCTGATCTTTGAGAAAATACATGGGGCTTTCAGACCAATTTCTAGCAAACCTACATTCTGTCACACAAGCTACCTTCAACACTCAAAGAAACTGGCTTCTTGCTGCCAGAGACCAAGGACAGTAATATGGAGTCTAAATTCCCTGCTACCTCTAAAGATCAAGATATACTGGGGTCAATGAAGGGGGAAGGTGAGACTGCTTAGGTATAGCTGGGCTATGGCCGCATAGAAATCTTCATTCTCTGGTACTGTTATCCTGGCACCTTTCACCAGCACTAAGGCACTTACTATACAAGAAGGGGGCAGCCATAAAAACAAGCTATGGGAGAGAGGACGCTCAAGAAAATTCAGCTTTGGAGAGGACAGAGGTGAACTCCTGCAGAACACAATTCTCTCTGAACCATAGCAATGCTAAGGTCTTGTCACTAGTATCTTGCATGCAACACTAGAAGCCTTCTTGACTCCAGGGAAGGTTATTTACCTGTTGTCTCTATAGAAGAGAGAACCAAGCATAGGCCACATGGGCCAGATTAGTTCCATATGGACCCGTTTTCCTCTCCAGTAGATGGGCAGCTAGTGGAAACTACAGCTCCCAACATGCCAAACTCCATCTTGATCCAAGCAACTTTCTGTTCCATGGACCACAGCCTTCTGGATGATGCAGCTTCCACAGACTGCTCCTTTATCTTGATGGGCACATCAGCCCATCCCCATTTTATACAAGTCTGATGTGCTTGGTAATGACTGACAAGCAACTGATGCAAATCGTGGACTAAGCAGAGACCAGCTACTCCCTATTCTGCAATACTCACAAGGAAATGAGACCTTCTAGGACAGTCCTGCAAGAAGGTCTTTTTGCCCCTGCTGAGTAGGGGAGTTTACCTTTGAAGAAGCTGCTCAAGGAGTATGAGGAGGCTTGCTTGGGTAAGGCTGCATAGGAAGAAGAGCCCTTCTGTAGGCTCCCCTCAGGAGGGCTAATGCTGCTGGAAGCTGTCTCTTTGATCGACCAAGAAATGCCTACAGGAAAAGAACAATGCTGGTAACTCACAAAGAAGACATAAAACTGCCATCTTTGAAACAAAGACACTAGATAATGAAAATAATAATTTGCATGCTCTGGTCAATTCTGGATTCTATATTTTACCTTCTTAAACAGATATTGTACTAGTTCATCAAACAGCACATAGCGGTCAGACTCATGGAGCACATATGGGAAGGACCGGTAGCGGGGACGATGCTCAGGGGCAACCACCAGCATGGCTTCATTAGGGGCAGGTCCCATCAGACCAACCTGATTGCCTTCTACAATCAGGTCACAAAATCAATGGATGCAGGTGTCACGGTGGATGTAGTCTTCCTGGACTTCCTTGACACTGTCTCCAACCCCATTCTCATTAAAAAGCTAGGCAACTGTGGCACTGATGCCTACACAGTCAGATGGGTTGGAAATTGGCTGAAGGACCACAACCGCAGAGTGGTGGTGGACGGGTCATATTCGACCTTGAGGGATGTGGACAGTGGGGTCCCCCAGTGCTCGGTCCTTGGGTTCATACTGTTCAATCTCTTTATTAGCAACTTGGACAAGCGGGTGAAAAGCACCCTGTTCAAATTCATTAATGACACCAAGATCTGGGGCGAGGTGCGCACACTAGAAGGGAGGGACAGGATACAGCTGGACCTGGACAGGTTACAGGGGGGGGCAAATGAAAATAGGATGGGATTCAATACTGACAAGTGCAGGGTACTGCACTTGGGCAGTAAGAACCAGCAGCATACCTATAGGCTGGGGGACTCCCTTCTTGAACGCACAGTGGCAGAAAGAGATCTTGGAGTCATTATTGATTCCAAAATGAACATGGGCCGCCATTGTGAGGTCGTGGTCAGTAAGGCCAACTGCCCCTTGTTGTGCATCCACAGATGCATCACAAGCAGGGCCAAGGAGGTGATCCTCCCCCTCTACGCAATACTGGTCAGGCCCCTGTTGGAGTACTGCATCCAGCTCTGGGCGCCGCACTTTAGAAGAGATGTGGCCAGCATCGAGAGGGTCCAGAGGAGAGCCACTCGCATGGTCCAGGGACAGCAGGGCAGACCCTATGAGGAGGAGAGGCTATGGGGTCTGAACCTTCACAAGAGAAAGCTGAGGGGGGACGTGGTGGCTGTCTACAAACTTATCAAGGGGAACCAGCGGGGAATGGGAGAGGCCCTGTTCACCCGTGTACCTCCCAGAGTAACAAGGAATAACGGCCATAAATTGTCTGAGAGTAGATTCAGGCTGGACATTAGAAGACACTATTTCACAGTCAGGGCAGCTAGGATCTGGAACCAACTTCCAAGGGAAGTGGTGCTGGCTCTAACCTTGGGGGTCTTTAAGAGGAGGCTTGACAATTACCTAGCTGGGATTATATGAGCCCAGTATTCTCTCCTGCCCAAGGCAGAGGGTCGGACTTAATGATCTACTTAGGTGCTTTCCAACCCTACATCTATGAATCATATAGAGTCATTGAGAAGTAGGGCTAAAAGGGACCTCAGAGGTCATCTAGTCCAACCCCCTGCCTAAGCCAGGATCATCCCCAGCCAAATTATTCCATGCAACCATCATCTAAACTCTACACAAGACTACCCTCAACACTGACACAGCATACACTTAATACCCTAACCTGCTACAGGTAAAGCAGGGGAACCACTGCAGCCAATGTTCTGCCTCTATAAAACATTGTCAATTTATGCTCAAGAGGCCCCAGCTGATGGGATGATGTTTAAAAAGCTGCCCACATTCATCTCTGGAAAGATAGCAGCACAGTGCATTGTGCATGCAGATGTGGCTTAAATGAATGTTACAATTAGAGGTACACTGATGCATCAGTTTGATATAGGATCGGCACCGATATAAAGCAAATTGACTATATCAGAAATCTGCCTGAAGTGGCTGATAATTTGGCTGATAAATACCCTGTGCATGTACGTAGCCGCAGTGCAGCACGCAGGCAGTGAGGAGCGCAACCTGGAAGCTTGTAGAGCTGCATGCAGCTAGTAAGGCTGTTGTGATGGAAGGGGAGTGGGGATGGAAGAGGTGTGGGGAGACAGTTCAATGCCCCCCCTACCCCCCACGCGCGGTGTGGCGCTACCCAGCCGGCGTGGGGCAGGGTGCAGGACAGAGCTGTGGCTTATCTGAGGAGTGCGAGGAGGGGGAGCGGCTCCCACTGCTACACGCACCCCAGGAAGACACCGGGGTGGGGGGAGGGGGCATGTGCCCCCGGATCTGCACTGGGGAGAGAGAGCTGTAGCTGCAGGCTGGGGCCAGGGGCTGGGCTGGGCTAGGCTAGGCTGGGCTGTGCTTGGGGTGGGCGGCGGCAGCAGCAGTGCTGGGAGAGCAGCTACTGGGGGGGAGGGGGGGCCCGCTGCAGCCACCCCAAATTTCACTGTAGCTCCCCCATAGCCCCACCTCCCAGCACTGCTGCCACCTGCCCCAAGCGTAGCACGGCCTAAGCCCCCTCCCCCCCACCAGGAAGAGCCCGGCACAGCCCCTGGCCAGACTGGCCCCAGCCCCTGGCCCCAGCCCACAGCTGCAGCTCAGCCTGCCCTATCCTGCACAGATCTGGGGGCACATGCCCCATCCTCTGGCAGGAGATGCTCCCCCTCCCCATGCCACCTGGCCCACGCCCTGCCCCAGCCCCACTCCCTCCCTCACCATGGGGGGTGTTGAACTGTCTACCACAACAGACTTACTAGCTGGATGCAGCTGTATCAGAAATTGGATTGGCATCAGCTGATATGCCTCCTTAAAAGCTGGCCATTGATATGACCCAAAAAATCTCTATTGGTGCACCCCTAGTTACAACAGATCATTAATACACTCCTGAACATTCAAAGGGACTGTAGGGGCACAGCACATTCCCTGCTCCAAGATGCAAGATACAGGTTTTCTTGGGTTGGAAAGGAACAAGGCATTCCCATCTAGGTACTGCCACACTGAGACTGATATGCTGCCTGACGAGAATGGGCTTTGCCATCAAACTAGGATGTGGTGATAACTAAAACATGCCCTTCCTTCTTCATCTCGGCACAGCAAGCAGCATGTGCATCTGTCTGTCTGTCTCCACAGTCACGCCACTACCACTTTGACCACTTGTAAACTTTTGAACGTGGGAAAGCAGAAACACAGTTAATCAGAGGGAAGGGGCATGAAGAGGCCAGCAGGGAAGGGGAAACATGAGCAGGAGAATCAAAGTCAGAAGATGATGAAAAGAGCGGACTCTGAAAATAATGTGTTATAGCGTGAGGGGAGCGATGCCGCCCTCTGACCTCTCACTCATTAAATGTGGGGGTGAAGGTTCACTTGGTCCAGCACTAGGATTCAACTGCATTTTAAGCCTCTTCCTAAGAGGTATCTGTGGCTCTGTGCAACACGCACTTTCTGGGGAGTCCATCCACATTCACAGGTTGGCTGATGACTGAACGACCTCAGCAGCAGCCTCCAGTGGTCACGGCCCCCAAAGGAATGTGGGCAGCACCGAAGGGCAAGGCCAATGGGCCTGCCTATGGCACTGCACAAACACGGCTGCTCTGAAGGCTGAAGCTATCGGCTCAGACAGCAGCATACACACAGCGCTGTGGTGGGCTTGAGCTCCGTGCCGTCCGGCTTGTACATTTTCAGCACAGTCATGGTGAAAAGATGATGAACCTGCTCCTATTTGGTCTCCATTTCAGCTAAAATAGCTTAATTCAGCTGCCTACAGCTCAGGAACCAGGCACAATGGATCCGAGGAGAAACAGTTCAGGTGGCAGAGTAGGAATAGCTCATCACCCCTAATTCTACAGGTGCCTTCCTTTGAGCGTAAGGAATCTCAGACATAAAACGTCAAGCCTCTGCGCTATGGGCAGAGATGCCAGGGGACAGGCCACATGTCTGCTCCCACCCTCCTTTTATTCATGCACCTGCAACTTCATCTCACCCCCCTCCTAACGGGCCAAGCAGACACAACCACCCACTTGTAGCTGCGAAGGGCAGATAAGGAAGCAGCAGGATTCACCCCAGGGGTGAGACCCCACGTCACAGCAGAAGTGCCGGTGGCAGAGCTCGAGCTGCACCTGTGCCTGCGCCCCAAGTTGAACCGCCAGCACCGCACTTACTGCCCACGGGCTCCCCGCTCCAGCTGACCCGCTCGAGGTCGTCGTCATCGTCAACGATGTCGCGGAGGCTGTTTACTGCCCGCTTAGACTCCTTCAGCTGCGAGGGAAGGCGAGGCCGAGTGAGGCCGACGTGAGGCCGCCCCAGCCCCGGAGGCTCCCGTCCCGCCCCGGCCTAGGGCTCAAGGAGCTGTCCGGGGCCGGGGGTTCTGCAGGGCAGATCCCGCCCCCGCCCCTGGTACATGCGGCGCCCCGGGGGAGGCCGCGGCCCCCCGCACCTGGCAGAGCTCGTCGTCGTCGTCGTCAAAGGTGAAGGCGCGGCACTTGGAGCTGTGCCAGTACTCGTCCTCGTCCGCCCGCGCGCGGCTCATCGGGCCGCC